TGTTATAATTGTGTTGACATTAACGCAAATAAAGCTCATAACAAATATTCAGTGAAATTTTGAGTAAAGCTTTTTTGGTATAAAAATGGAATATTGTTTATAAAAATAATTAAATATTACAATTAAATGGTAACATTGTGTCAATCAATACATGATTATATGAATTCAATGCAACAAATAGTTTGGAACTAATCTCATGAGTAACTCGATTCAGACTAATACTGATAAAATTGTTGCCAGTATTGAGTCGTTTGTTTCAATAACTTAAAGAAATGCTTTCTTTAATAGTATCATAATTAGTATAAATTAAATGAATTTGTTTTTCCAACGAATGATTTATATTAGATATTTATGTTAAATATACACTACAGTAACGAGAACTCAAATCTGAGAAAATAAACACTTTTCCCAAAAATAGTCGCTTCTAATCGTAAAAATATTGTCGAAATCAATGAATAAATGATTAAAATATAGGAAATCTCAACATTGAGACCAATTTCTATTTGGAATGAATTCGAAATAACTTTCCCAACAATTATACAGTCTTTGGGAATACTTATCAGTATTAATGAATACCTATAAGTTATAAAGCTGTATATTTGGCAACCTTGTCAGTATTGTACCCGTTTGTAACCCCCACCGCAACCCATATCATCATAAATACCACATTAGAAGCCGTCAATTATACGATAGGCCTCAAGACTGGACAGAACAACATATATGAGCCAAAGGGCCACAAAAAGTATAGTCGTCGGCAGTTTGTAAATCATAGGACCGCCTAATTCTCCGCCGACAGCAGCGGTTCGTCTCATTAGCAAAACAGCGGCGCAAACAAAGGCCGAGATGCAGAATATGGTGACAGAAAAGCTCAGATTTCCCGGATCCACGACAAAGCCTCCGTCTGTGCCCTTAAATGCGTGATATACTGCGGCTATAGTCCACGCGATACCGATTCCCAAGAATACGTTCACTGCATTACTTCCGGTCACGTTTCCGATGGAAGAGTCGGCGTATTTGTCATTGAGAGCCGCGATTTTGGAGGCAAAAGTGTCGGGAACTGATGTGCCCAATGCCACCAATGATATGGCCGTAACCGAGTCTTTGAGGCCAATAGTGCAGCCGAACTGTGAGGCCAAGTCGTTGATGAGTGCCGTCAATAAGCCGATCACTATAATGGAGACCACAAAACAGGCCCAACCGTTGTATAGGTTTGGCGGCGGAACGCAAGCGAACAACACTTTCCAGAATAAAGTCAAGTAATGGAAAATATAAGCCATTATTGACTTCTTCTGAACCACTCGCACGTCGCCCTCAACCTCCGCATCGGCTTCTCTTTCTGAGCCGAGAGACGGCACTCTCACCGCTTCGATGAACTGTCCCTCCCATGAAGACGTACTGATGGCCGAAACGGCTTTCTTCTGTCGCATCAACTTATCGACTGTCGCTCTAAAGTCTCGACTCTCGCGGATCCTAACCGTGCATTTGACGAGTTCCCCGAGTCGTGGCGCACCCTTTTCATCACCCGTTTCTTTGGTCGGATGATAGTCGATACGATAGGGCTCTCCTATCTCCACATAAAACGCCACATTCTTCTCGTAGTTATCAGTATTTATAATATTAAGGACAATATCTTTATGCGTCTCATTGTTTCCAAACTCAATCTTCGAGTCAATCATCTGGAAATCAACATTTGGTTTAGCAGTTCCGGCGCTCATCTTATAGGGAAGGGCCACATGTCCTCTCGCACCACAAAATCGGGTGACTCTTAAGTGGTAGTGACCGACGCTTTCAGGAATTTGTATCATATTATTGTTGAACGAGAAGACACCGCTGTGGTCGTCGTCAAGAATTGTCACTTTCGCTTCCGGTTCACTCAGTATAATGTTTGGTCGAGTGGTGTCTTCGGACACCGGCGCCATATAATGGGCCTCAGAGAGTCTCACATAGAAATACTCGTCATCTTCAAAGATATCGTCGTTTATAATCTTAACGGAGATCTGTTGGTGTTGTTCTCCCGGTCCGAAAGATATCACTCCATTCACGGCTTCATAATCTGATCCACACTTTGCTGTTCCGTCTTCGGTGTTATAGTCAACAAGAATTGTCGACTCGAGAGCACCCGAACGACTCACTGTCAGCTGAAAGGCACCGATATTTTCTAAGACTGTATACTCTTTTGGATTAAAGAATATCTTAATGTTGTTGTTCTCCTTCTCGTCATCGGAGGTCTCGAAGTCCTCGTTAATCGACTTCAGGAAGTGGTCCTTCACTTTCTCGCCCACACTTCCCATCATTTTTCGAGCCGCTTGTATGCGATAATAGGCTTTACTTTTGGGTTGAAGTTTATGCAACTCTAAAGACGCCATTTCCACCAATTCCTCGTTAGAGGCGTTGGGATTAGTGGACTTGAATTTGCGCAGAATATCGATAACCTCTTCCCTGTGATCTTCAATCTGTTGCAACTCTTCATCGCTGGCATCGATATACTGTTTGCGAGACACCATTGAAATACAAATGATTGACCAATAGATACAAATACCTTAAGATCTCCTTTGAGTTCAACGTCATTCACTTTGAGTTTGACACCATTGGCGTCAACTGAAGTGAGCTCCAGGTTCTCCCCGTCGGCCGCGTCGGCGCCGGCGTATATGGCTTTGCGGCCCCTTTTCATGCGATACCTTTTGTCCAAATACTTGTAGATAAGTAGCCGTTTGTCCGCAATATAGGCCAAGAGTACAGTGATTGGGAAGAAGAGGAATGTGAGGAATGCCTCCCAGACCTCAATGACACCGGGAGTCGACCACACGATGATATAGAGCAGCCATATGTAGGCGAACACCGAGAAGACCATCGTTATGCAGAAGACACGCAAGTGTTTGATCTTTTTGGCCTCCGAGGGGACGACCCAAACGCAGATCGCGATTATGACAAACATGTTGAATGCGGCCGACCCTACGATAGTTCCCGGACCCAAATCACCCGCATTGAAGTTATTGCCACAGATCTCGATCACTGACAACAGGATTTCGGGCGCAGAAGAGCCCAAAGCCATGAGAGTTAGGTTGGAGACCGTCTCGTTCCAGATCTTCACTGATATTATCTCCTTCTCGCCATTGGGTTTGCGAACGATTACGTCCTGTTCTTGGGATGTGATCTCCTCTATGGCTCCCATAAACCGGTCGGCGATTATAGCGACGCCGACGAAGATGTAGATCAGGGCCAAGAAGTAGACGATTCCGTGGAATACAATGAGTCCAGTGCTGTCATAGTGGGGCCAAAATGGCAGAAACAAGCCGTCCAGACACTGGCCATCAGACACAGCACCAGAACTGGACATCAATGAGATGTTTGTCAAAGAGTTGGTTTGATTGCTATTCAGTGGAACCGTTGGAATCGAATCCTGCAGAAGACTGGTGACGGCTGCCAACAGGTGTATGGGACTCGTGTCCACCGCCCACGTAGTGCTCCCGTTCACGAGACTATCATTTGATGCCATTGTGTCCGAAGTTGTCATCAAAAGGGATCAAATGAAACGATTTGAAAATTACGCCCTTTTTATCACTCAATTGTAAATACAATGCATTTAACTGTCATTTGGTGACAACTGTTGGCTTCATAAGGAGTTTATGGATGAATGTCTGTAATCACATGTTTTGGACAACAAATGCTTGAATTGTGGATCAGAAGGTGATAATGAAGTGCGGTTTGTGTGGTTTGGATGGAAATGAGGCACAACTGCGAGCATAAGATTGAGTGCAGTATTGAACACAACAGTCAACAGTTTGGAGGAGTGTCTCACTGTATGACAACACGTGCTTCACATTCACTGCAATACACAATACAATACAATACACAATGCAATGGTTGGCATTCATTGAATGCAATTCTCGCTGTTATAGTGATCTAACTTTGGGCTCAATTAAGTGTTACATTAAGATTGTCTTCACGTGTTTGCGTCCTTTTATACGATTGTTTGTATGCCATCCACAGTGTGTTGATGAGTGTCTATGGGTTAATAGCAATGCAATAGATTTAGAGTCGATTCCCAGACAATGCATGACATGAACTAAACAGAGGAATAAGTGTTGAGTCAGGAATAGGATTCCTATTATAGGAATAGCACTGAACGCCAGAATAGTTGCGATACTTTTGCCCTTTTTATTAATTTATTATCAAATACTTTCTACAAATACAGTCTCTCTCTCTATTTAATATGCAGTTTATGGTTTGAATTATATTATAGCAGTTTAGATATACTTTACACCTGTTTTTGCAGTTAAACTTTTACTATAAATAAATTTACTGTAAATTCTATTGACAGCAAATACACGAGAATATAGTTTATAATACTGTAGTTTTTGGCTTTAAAGCCATTTTCGCTGAATAAACAAATAAAAAGACTTGTATACCGTTCCCGTAATGGTATATCGAGACTATAAATGAGAATTTTTGCCAATTAGATAATTAAATTCACTTTCACTTCAGTCCATGACATAGATTTCCACAAATGAATAACCGATACATTTGCTCACAATTCGCACATTTTCTATGCTATACTGTACTCTAACTGTAGTTGAATTGCTTTTTATGATAGTATTAAATGCAACTTAAATTCATAAACAGTATTATATCTGTGATTCATATAATAAGTTATCTCGAATCGACAACTATTACTAAAAATATTCAAACCATTATCTCTGGACTTATAACTAAGAGTTAAAGAAATGTTTTCCTTTTATACAGTATTATCTTATAAATTTATTAGCAAATATCGCGATTTTTATAAATATTATATAATAAAACCATTTAATAGAAGCTTTTATTATCTCATAAAATACGAAAATACTCTCATAAATAATGAATGATATTGATTGAATATACCAATAAATATAAATCAATCGACTGTTTGAATAGTTTCCTAAAAAACTGAAATACTATACATTTTTTAGACTATTTAAAAGTTTTGACATAAGATTTAATAAATACAAAGTTTGAAAATTTGCCAAAAATGGACATTTGTTGGGAATTCATTGCATATTAACTTATAATTGTAATAAAACGAAAAGGAAATAGATTATAAAAGGAATATTTCTATGATTTAATACTTACAATACATTTGAATCATACTTATTATATACGCGTACTAAACTAGTAAATAATAGCAATTACAGTATATTTAATATTTCTATTCATTTGCCAACACTTTTGTTATGGCAACACCTGTTATGGACTAATAGTTTTCAGTGCAATGAAACGACTTTCGAGATAAATATTACATAAAGTGGTTTCAGTCACGAACCGGTTT